GGGTAGAAGAACAATTTAATAATATTGAGTCTCAAAACACAGGATCTCTCTCCATTTATTTAGGTCTTAAATTTCTTTCAGCAGTGTTTTATAATTTTAAGTGTAAAGACCTTGTACATATTTTGTTCATGTTTTTGGATGCTATTATAAATAGTATTTTTAATTACAGTTTTTAATTGTTTCCTGGTATTATACGGAAATAAAACTTAAAATATATTCTACAATCCTGTTAAATTCATTTCCTAGTAGTGATTTTCTTATTGATTCCTTAGTATTTTTTACATAAATGACTCTGATAGCTGCAATTGAAAACAGTTTTACATCTTCTTATCCAACCTCTATGCCTTACTATGCTAGCTAGGACCTCCACTGTAATATTAAATTGAAGTGGCAAGAGAGGACATCCTTACTTTGTTTCCGATCTTTGTTGGAAAGCATTTAATCTTTCGCTATAACTATGAAGTCATTAGGTTGAAGAAGTTCCCTTCCACTACCTGTCTCCTGAGATGTATTATCTTGAGTGGATGCTCAATTTTTTCAAGTGCTTTTTCTACATCTATTGAAATGATTGTATGTTTTGTTTGGTCATATGGTGAATTACAATGATTAGTTTTCAGAAGTTTTGGTAACCTGTGTTTGTGGGATAAAGCTCTCTTGTTTATGATTGATTATCTTTTTAATGTATTGTAGATTTGCTAATATTTTGTTAAGGATTTTGAATCTGTTTATGGGAGATATCTGTACTTTTCCTTTTTCTGTAATGTCTTTGTCATTTTTGGTGTCATTGTAATGCTAACATCATGAAATTAGTTGGGAAGTGTTCCCTCCTTTTGAGTTGTATACAGTTGATATTATTTCTTCTTTTAATGTTTGAGAGAACTCCCAAGAGAAGGCATCTGGACATGCAGAGAGAGAGAGAGAGAGAGAGAGAGAGAGAGAGAGAGAGAGAGGGAATGTGTGTGTGTGTGTGTGTGTGTTATGTGTATGTAAAGGTTTGTTAAACTATGGATTCAAATTCAAATAATAAAGGGTCATTCATGTTATTCTTTAAAAAAAACATTTCAGAGATGATGCTTTGCTTTGCTTTCAATGAGAAAAACATCTTTTTATTTATTTATATATTTTATTGATTTTTACAGAGAGAAAAGGAGAGGGTTAGAGAGTTAGAAACATCGATAAGAGAGAATCATCGATCAGCTGCCTGTTGCCCACCTCCTACTGGGGATGTGTCCGCAACCCAGGTACATGCCCTTGACTGGAATCGAACCCAGGACCTTTCAGTCCGCAGGCTGATGCTCTATCCACTGAGCCAAACCAGTTTCGGCATTCATGTTATTCTTAAATGAGCTTTGATAGTTTAGGTCTTTCAAGGAACCCATTTCTATAAGTTATATTTATTTGCATAAAGTTAGATTATTCACTTCTTTAATGTTTCTAGTTCTGTAGTGATTATTGTCAATATTGTCTTTTCTTTCTCCTCAATTTAGGCAGATGTTGGTCAATTTTACTAATGGTTTCAAAGAACCAGCATTTTGGGGGGATTTAGTCTATTTTATTTACTGCTTGATTTTTTTTTTTTTACATTTCTTATCACACAATTATATTTTCTCATTTTCTAGTCTGCAAACAGATAACCTAAGTAGAAATACTTCTTAAAAATAATCAAATTAGGTACATCCAAAATGCAACAATTATACATATGACAATTCACAATGTGTAATTTACCAGGATGTATCCTAAGAATTTAGGAACAGCCAGTGAGGAGAAATCTGATCATATTTAGCAATCAACTGTGTATACATCCAAAGACAAACATATATAAACTCCCAAACCAAAACTTTGAAAGTTTTTGTTAAGTCCCCATTGGATGAAGGAGAAAGAGTGAGGATTCAAACCTAGCCAGCCTTGACAGTCTTAATGCCAAATGCTGGGCTGGTGCCCCAGTCTGCAACTGAATGCAAGCATCTCAGTTTGTCAAACACCTGAGGTATCCAGCTCTTGTGCCATTATGCACATAGAAAGGCTAAGTGTTCATTAATTAAAAAACAAGTAGTCATTAACTATCTACACTATCCCCCCCTCAGTTACTAGCCCCAATATGCAACCTGTGTCACACAAGAGAAGGCTATACTGTATTATATATGCATGTAGTATGTGTATATATATGAGTGGATTAAAAAACTGTGGTACATCTATGCTGCGGTAAAAAAAGATGCAATTCTTACCATTTGCAACACCATGGATGGAACTGGAGAACATTATGCCAAGCGAAATAACCAAGTTAGAGAAAGATAAATATCACATGATCTCATTCATTTGTAGAATATAATGAACAACACAAACTGATGAACAAAAACATCCAGAGACAGAGAAGCATGATCAGACCATCAAACCTCAGAGGGAAGATAGGGGAGGTTGGGGGTAAGGAAGAGAGATCAATCACAGGACTTGTATGCAGGCATATAAGCTTAGCCAATGGACACAGACACCAGGGGAATGAGGGCATGAGTGAGGGGTGGTTGTGTGTGAGGGGCATATGTAATACCTTCATAAATAAAAATAAATAAAAAATACATCAAATAAGGACACATATGTAATACCTTAATAAATAAAAATACATCAAATAAGGACACATGTAATTCCTTAATAAAAATAAATAAAAAATATATCAAGAAAAAGAAAAAATAAAGTTATCTAGAAATTATCCTCCAAAGTACTGCTATAACTACACTTTACAAATGTTATTTTAAAAATTTTATGCATTTCAAAATATTTTCTAATTCACTTTGTAATTTCTTATGGGGAAGAATGTCGATTAATTTCTAAATATTTTGAGATTTTTCAGCTATCTATGTTGATATCTAATTTAATTCTGGTGTGGTTCAAGAGCATATTCTGTATGATTTCAAAACATTTAAATTTATGTTTTATCACCCAATATATACTACTATTATTGTGTGAAATGTTTTATAAATGTCAATTGGGTCAAATTCAAGAATAGTGTTTTTCAATATTTTTCTATTTGTATTGACTTTCTGCTATATGTTTTCTCAATTAGTGACAGAGAAGTACTGAAAAATCCAAATATAATTGTAGAATTCACTTTTCCCCCTGTTCTATCAGTTTTTGCTTTATTATTTCAGAGCTCTATTGTTAGGTTCATTGAAGATTATGTTTCTTCCTGAATTTTCAATTCTTTATTATAAGATACATAATTTTAAGTTAATTCATTTCCATCTCTCACCATTTTAAATATGTCTTAGTGTTGTCTTCTGGCTTGCATCATTTCAGAAACATAGTTTGCAATTATTTATATATTTGTCTCTCTATACATCATTTGTCCCTTTTTTGGTTCCTTTTTAAGATTTTTCCTGTATCACCTTTTGCACAATTTGGTTATGATTATATACTAGCTTCTCTTCTCAAAAATCAGTTCTTTCTCTTGCTAGATGTAATATATGAGGTATAAATAGCATCAGAAGGTTTGGATATTTTCAGTTTCCTGCGAAGTTCCTACACATTTATGTCTATTGACAGGAGCCACTGAGGACTTCTCGTGCTTGACTGCAGGCTCACAGAGGCTTTGGACAGCAGCATTCATTAATTTTACCAACATAAAAAGAATAGCAAAGTTTTGTTGCTTAGGATAACCAAGGCAATTCCCCAGATTCCCTATCAAGTTAAGTCCTGTTAGATATACCATAGGTTTTCTTTTTTAATGGACTTGAAGTAATATGAAGAATTTTGGCATTTTTCTCATGGACTAGTATGTTTTGAAAATCCTGAAACCTATAACCTTTGCAATTAAATGTTGATAATAATGAAAAATTGCAGTGATATTTTATATACTTAGAGCTTACGAATAATTTCACACATATTTTCTCATTTAGTTTCATGATGATTTGTACTGAGAAGTTTTTGTGGACTCACTCAATTTCATAAACATTGGCTGAATTAAAAAAAAAAAAAAGATTTTACTGCCAACCACTTTTTTAAAGATTTAAAAAATAATAACCTGCTTAAGCATCCTAGTATTTGCTGTCATTTACACAGAAGTTGTTAGTTTTAAACGAAATAAGCCATATTTAAAAGATGATAAAATAAAACTAGATCAGAATGCTTCCCCACTTGTTTTGTGTTCTTGTTTCTCTAAGATTAGAAGTGGATTTTCTTTTATTTAAATGGATAAACAAATATGTTTTATAGTAAATATTATTTGTGAAGAGGATCAACAGCAGGATTAATACTAATCATTGCTGCCAAAACCGGTTTGGCTCAGTGGATAGAGCATCGGTCTGCGGACTGAAGGGTCCCAGGTTCGATTCCGGTCAAGGGCATGTACATTGGTTGCGGGCACATCCCTGGTAGGGGGTGTGCAGAAGGCGGCTGGTCGATGATTCTCTCTCATCGATATTTCTGGCTATCTATCCCTCTCCCTTCCTCTCTGTGAAAACTCAATAAAATATATATATTTTTTAAATACAAAAAAAAAAAATACTAATCATTGCTTACTTCAGTAGAAGAGAATAATCTCTAAATGCCAATCTATATATATAAAAGCCTAATATGCAACTTGTCACCTCGGGAGTTTAACCGGGAGACAAGGAATTCTATCGCTCACTATGATGTACGCTGACCACCAGGGGGTGGCACAGAATGAAGGAAGGCCCCGGCTGGCAGCCCGGGAAGGGAGGTCTACTTCGATATCCTCATGCTTACCCACTCAGTTTAAGCAGTTGCCTACATGGAGTATAAATTAGTTAATATGTGCTGAAATTGTAAGGATAAGCTAAATGGGGGGAGGAGGAGGTAGGTATTATTTAAAATGAAGATTTAACCACAGAACCATTTTAGTCTTGGCTCCCCAAATTTCATATTTCTAGCACTTATGCAAGAAATTATTACTGTTTTATTTTTTTTATCAAAAACTCAACTCTGTTTTTGTTACTCTACTTTTTGTTTTTAAAAGATTTATTTGGTTTTATGCTTTTTTGTGACAGGTATCTTCACTCGAGGACAGCTGGGCCTGGTAGACGTTGTCTCCCAGTACATTCACTACGACCAGGTCTGTGAGGCGATAAGCATCCTGAGCAGCATGAACTGGGACACACTGGGCCACCAGTGCTTCGTCAGCATGAGCGCCATCGTGAACCACCTTCTCAGACAAAAGCTTACCCCAGAGAGAGAAGGTCAGACTCGAAATCTATTCTGTCAGTGGGTTTTGCATATACGTAAAGTATCTTTTATTGAGTCAGTTATTTTTTAGTATGATTTTGAGTGATATTATTTTAAACTAAGACAGAAATGCTAATGCCTTATTAAAACTGACAGAGTCAGATATAAAATAGTTACTCCTGTATGGTATTGATTGTGTAGTATTTATCAACATAAAGAACAACTTTTCTGTATATACCTATGCTGGAGCTCCCAATGCAGTCATTGTATATTCCAGTGTAAGTTCATGTATGGAATATGCTCAGATTTCAAACTTTGAAAAAGAATTTCATGTACTCTCTCGGGTCTGGTAGACAAAGGGCCCCAAACAAACTTCCTATTGCTCCTTTACATTAGACATCAGTATTTTTCTCTCACACCCCAAGTCTTTTGTCCAGAAAATAATCCTTTCCCCTTACTGTGTGTGTGTGTGGGTGTGTGATACTTGCAGCCCAGTCTGCTGCTGCTTATTTTCATTCTGATTTGTAGTTCTGATACCTGTTTCCCATTTCCCCACCTTCCCCAGTAAATAATTATTCCATAGGATCTCAGATGTTGTTTGTCAAAGAGAGATAAAACACTGTAAAAAAAAAAAAAAAAAAAAAAAAAAGGAGGGGGGACAAATATGTGCCACATACAATGAAATTAATTTTTATATTTGTCACTTATCAGTATGTTATTTTTAAAAAATATACCTTATTGATTTTTTTTTACAGAGAGAAAGGGAGAGGGTTAAAGAGTTAGAAACATCAATGAGAGAGAAACATCAATAAGCTGCCTCCACCGAAACCAGTTTGGCTCAATGGATAGAGCGTCGGCTTGGAGACTGAAGGGTCCCAGGTTCGATTCCGGTCAAGGGCATATCCCCAGTGGGGGGTGTGCAAGAGGCAGCTGATCGATGACTCTCTCTCATCGATGTTTCTAACTCTCTCTCTCCCTTCCTCTCTGTACAAAATCAATAAAAAAATATTTTTAAAAAAATAATAAATAAAAAATAAGCTGCCTCCTGCACATCCCCTACTGGGGATGTACCCACAACCAAGGTACATGCCCTTGACCGGAATCGAACCTGGGACCCTTGAGTCCGCAGGCTGACACTCTATCCACTGAGCCTAAACCAGTTAGGACTCGGTATGTTGTTTTTATTGTGATTTACTTAATGTAAAATGCACCTAACCATTTTTCCACTTGCTTCTTTATTTCAGATCTTTGCAAAAAAAAAAAAACTACGTTAATGATGGGAAATCATGGCTAATGAGAAACTGTCCCTAGGTAGTTTGCAAGGACATATATCAAACCAGAAGGCTTTATTGGAGAGTTTCCTTTCCCCTACTATTTTCTTTGCATTTTTATAGATGTTCTTATTCTATCAATATTTTATTTTGTTTATAAAGTAAACAAGTTGTTTAGATAGAATTCTGTTTATAAGCTTCATTTTAGTAATTTTAAAGAATAATCAATAAGAACAAATTTCTTCAGGAAATTTGCATCATGGGACTTGGCCCAACTCTCAGGAGGCTCACAATAAATATTTATTTAATGTTACTTGAATGTGCTTTCCTGAGGTAGCCCAACTCATCTGTGGGATTCCAGTATTTCTACAAGGAGAAAATGCCTAGCGCAGTGTTTGGCCCACCGTATGTATTAAAATATTAGTTAAAAATAAGAAGAGTATAACTTGCCGAAACCAGTTTGGCTCAGAGAATAGAGCATCAGCCTGAAGACTGAAGAGTCTCAGGTTCAATTCCAGTCAAGGGCATGTACCTTGGTTGCAGTCACATCCCCAGTGGGGATGTGCAGGAGGCAACTGGTTGATGTTTCTCTCTCATCGACATTTCTAGCTTTCTATCCCTCTCCCTTCCTCTCTGTAAAAAATCAATAAAATATATTTTTTTAAAAGAGTATAACTTCAAAATTTTAGGTACTAGGTATTACTATAATATTTCTGCCTGGGGAGTTATTTCAGTGATTTCTTAGCTTTGGTATACTCCAAGATTGGTTACATAATATTTTTTTTTTTTTTTTAAGAAAAGAGTCCCCAAGAAAATCTGTTATGGTGCACAAAACTACACAAGAGATCCTAAATTTACAGTTAAATAAATATGGAGAAGATAAAATATTTACTGCTACTCAGGACACTGAGAAATTACTAATACCTTAGTGAATTTGTATTGTAAGATTTCTGTGTTCTAAGAAAGATTAAGTAGGTAATTCACAAATGGACGTTATCAGATTTTTGCATTAATAAAGTATATTCTCAGGAACCACATTGGGGAGACAGGAAAATAAAAAGCTTGTATGATTATAGGCTATTTAAAAAATGCTTGCATGATGCTAGGTTATCCGAATATGTGCATTTAGATAGGTGAATGCATTTTCCCCTAAGTAACTGCAAAACACATTTCTAAAACATTCAGAATTCTTTTCTATTGAGATTTATTCTATCTGAATCTAACAAATTTGACATGGTAATTTGTTTTCCTTTTATTAGTGGAACCCAGTGAGCTCTTTTATTTGTAGCCATGTTGTGGTTGTCTTTGAGGCCGTCATTTCTGTCTTAAACATCAAGCTGGGCTATCTAATGAATCTGTAACTGTGCTGGGAGTTACGAGTAGCTCATGTAGGCTTGAACGTTTCCGATGTACAAAACATGCTGTCAAGAAAACAAGCGATGGCAAGAGAATCTGGCTTGTTTTCACAATAGCATTGCTGTATTCAATTTTAATCTAAATTGACTGCTGCTTTGAAAGAAAATACCTGTAAAGTTCATCTTACTTCACTGTCTAGATTTGAGATTAAAAAGGAAATTACTTATAGCTTAGCCAAGTCTATAGCAATTACTCTGATGAGGTATTTAATGCTTTCAAAATCAAATATGCCTAAAACTAAAGAATTTTGCTAAATAAAAAAAAAAAATTGTTTATTCAACCAAGCGCTAGTAAGTAGCATAAGAACCAGTGGAGTCTTACTGTGAACTGTAGTGCTCTAGATACTCACACTCACTCCGCTATGGTAATTAGATGCCTTCCTGTATTTCTGGGAGGAAATACAACCCTATAGGCATGTCTTGGTAAAACTGTGAAGTTGGCAGACTGTGCCCCTTTCTCCTAGTTCTAAGCACCTCCAGTCCCCCTCTCCTAGGAAGGTGTCAGGTGACCCAGAGCAGATTAGCATGTCATCCCTCCCAGGGGTGTTGGCTTTCACACCTGGACAAAACCAACAGCCTTATTGTGGAGGACAGGTTTAGGGAAGATAAAGGGACTTTCACAGTTTCTTTAAAGTTTGAGTAGGTAGTAAAAATCTCTATTACCATAAGGCTATTTTTGTTTGTATTATTTTTCTAAAAGATTTCTAATATTTCAGCTCCCAGTGTGGACAGGTTAGTTTTTGCCCTTCCACTAAGGAGAGTAAATGTTGAGCACAAAGCAAGTTGATTTTACTGGAAATACTAGTTCAAACTGTGTTGCTTTGATGAGTCACTTTTAATTACCCATTTGTGCTGAGAGGTTGATTCATTATGGATTTCTTCAGTTTTGACAGCTTTTCGTTGTTCAGAGTCATTGTCAGCTCTGCTCCAAGTGAAAGTTTATACACAGGTTTGTTTTTGTACCAGCTGTCATATTTTAATTTCATCTTTCCTGCAACAAGCTCACATTTCATCCAAGTTTGCAAAACCTGACTGACTGCAAACATGAGTATTCTGTTGTAATTGAAGGAGTTTCACTTGTTTTAGTGCTGCTGTGTTTGAATTCCACAGCACAGCTCGAGGCAAGCCTTGGAACCTTCTATGCGCCAACAAGACCACTCCTGGACACAACTATATTGGAATACAGAGACCAAGTCAGCAAATATGCCAGGAGATTCTTCCACCACTTGCTCAGGTGAATGGTATCTTTGGATTGATTTGTATTAAACTAATGCCTATATAAGGTGCCATGTTCTTTAATTAGAATATCCCATGTTATGGCTATCTGTTTTATAACACCCTAAGGCAGCAATTTTCAACTTTTTCATCTCATAGCACACATAAACTAATTCTAAAAGGCTGCAGCACACCAAAAAAAATGTTTTTGTCAATCTGACAAAAAATAAGGTGTAATTTTGATTCATTTACATTGGTTGGCTATTGTTGTGTTGGTTGTAGTCATTTTTTTCATTTGACAGTCTAAGGGAAAAGAAGTCAGGGTCCCTGACTACATCGTCAGGGTACTGCATGTTTTAAAACTTCTTGCAACACACCAGTTGAAAACTGCTGCCCTAAGGAAAAAAACAAATCTTCTCTTGATATCCTTTACTTAATTCGTTCTTGTTTTCCTTTTAACTAATATATTTCAATATTGTTTAGGGCTTGTCCATCAACAGCACACTTTCATATAACTTCCCCTTTAGTGTGAAAGCAAAAAGAACCAGCCGGGTAAAGACAATTTAAAAACATTAACTTAAAAAAAACAACTAACTTAACTGTGCTCCAGGCACTAGAGAAATGTTTTAGTTTCATTGAAGCTAAAAATACAAATGTGCTATAAAAAGCTCTGAGACGGTCGTTGGTTTGCTTTACTTTCAAAATTACTGTGGAAAGATTTGTCTATTGTCCTCTCGTGTTGTGGCAAGTTGCTAGGTATACTGTGCCTTTTTTTCTCTGCTTTAAATGGATATAATAAAATTTTTTAACCTTAGGTGTTATATGAAAAATTAGATAATGTCAGTAAGTTACTCTGAGAAAAGTAATGTAAAAGTTGAAGCACAAGTACATATAGCATATCCCATATATATAAAGTTAAAAAACGGTTGGGTGGAAGATGAATGGGTTGACAGAGATGGATAATAGGTCGGTAGATAGCTATAGTTAGTTTAGAAATACATATATTTAAAAATACATATAAACTATATGTATTCGTACATATATCTCAATAGTTTAGTTTAGAAATACTATAAATGAAAGCAAGGAAGTGATTAGCACAAAATATAGGATAGTGCAGAGTAGGTTAAGAGAAATCGCGGAATAGTCATATATGAGCCTCCAAGGTATTAGTGATGTTAAGATGAATGGAGTATATATCAGGGTCAATTAAAAATAACCATTCTTTTAGCTAAATGTTTACATCTTGTATACTTTTTACATATGATATATTTTATAACAGAAAGTAATAAAATTTTCTACTCCATGCACCCAAAGGAATTGAGTTTAGAATTTTAATTTTATTTAAACTATGAATTTGCTATAACTCTATTGAACTCTTTCAACAATTATATATATAATCCCTTCTTCTTTTCTTAGAACAACTCTTTGAAGGGGATAGTATCAGTTGACAAATGAGTAAACTATATATAAAGTGGCACTTTCATCTCCACCCAACAGGGGGGCCTTTGGAAAACAGTCATTTAGAGGCTGAGAAATGTTAATATATTGTATGAGTTGTGATCTGTAATTGAATTTGCCTTTTAATCTGAATTGCATTAGCATATTTCAAGAGACTTTTCACCCTGAATGAGGCAGTCTCCTACATATGAGCCTCTGCCAAAGGTACTGTGGCTGTCGTCCGACCGAGGGCTTTGTTCTCTGCTCTCACTATTATTTTGTTTTCCCTGTTCTGAGGAAAAATTAATGAGTTCCCTTCCTGCCTGAAGAACACAACCGATTAACATGAATGAAACAGGCATTTTAGGGCATACTCTTGGTGGCCTCACTGTGTCTCTGGCCTCTGTGACTTTGTGCAGGGATTAGTTTGTGCATTAGCATTATGCTTCATAATGTGATAGTCATTATTCTGTGCTCCTGGCCCTAGAATGCTCATAGCCTACTAATGCTTGCGTATGCTATAGGTGTGCACTTTTTTTGTTCATTGATTTTCCTCAAATGCAATATTCTAATTTTTTTACTTGCTTTGATGAGGTGTCTATTATTGTTGTTCTTATAGATTCCAGCTTTTCTGTGTGGTTACATCTGGAATTGAACGTTTTCCCTTGGGATATACTAGGTTTTTCATGTTTTCTTTTATGCATGCTTTGCTATTATTTCTGTTATAATGAGTGTTTATTAGTTCTTTTGACAGTAGGCTATACATGGCATTATGAAGGAAAAAAAAGTAGGTTTGGAGGAAATTAAATGAGATAGCTAAAGTTGAAACTATTCTTTTTTTAATCTGCTGCCAAGAAGTTCTCCTGCTTAAGGGAAGAGAAACAGGCCAAAGACTTTTTTTTTGTATTTATGAAGTTCTAGACTTGCATTACTCCCTGTACTTTGCTAGCCAGTATTTTAATACTCTAAAAAAGTTATTACATAATGGACTGAGTTCTAAACAGTAAGCACCATCATACAGAATTGTGGACTGAAGGTGAGAAAAAAGGAGTGCTGTGCGGAGTAGGGTTGTGCTTACGCTCACTCACTGGTAAAGCCGCTGACTCATATTGCCTGAGTCCGGATTGAACTGTTGATTAAGAAGAATAAAATATTAGATTAATTTTAATTTCATGCAACCATAAGAAGAGTGAGTATTATAGTGAGAATTTGTGATAATAGACAACTATACTGGGTGAGTTACTAAAATAAATTTTTTTTTATACAACTTTGTTTTTATTTGGATAGTTAGGGGGAATCCATGGACTTCCCTATCCTGGAGGTCTGGGGGCAGAGCTGAAAGTTCCAACCCTCTAATCATGGTTGGTTCTTCTGATAACCAGCTCCCTCTATAGGGGCTTTTGAAAATCACCTCATTCATATAAACTCAGGTGTGGTTGAAAGGAGCTTGTTATGAATAACAAAAGACTACTTCCACCTTTTTGGGGTGTGTGTGTGTGTGTGTGTGTGTGTGTGTGTGTGTGTGTGTGTGTGGCGTGCTTTTGAGTCAGCTCTGACTCCTGGCAACCCTATGAATGAGTGATGCCCACAACGTCCTGTCCGTAACAGCCCTGTCCACTCCTGTAGATTCGTGCCTGGGGCTTCTTTTATGGAGTCAGTCCATCTCATATTTGATCTTTCTCTTTTCCTGCTGCCTTTTATTTTTCCCAGCATTATCATCTTTTCCAAAGAACCCTGCCTTCTCATGATGTGTCTAAAGAAAGACAACTTCAGTTTTGTCTCCACCGATGTGTCAGGACCTACTTGTCCCTCTTCCTGGCAGTTCGGAGAATCATAGAGCTTTCCTCCAATCCCATATTTCAAATGAATCTTTATTTTTTTCCTATCAACTTCCATCACTGTCCAACTTTTGCATTTGTACACAGTGATGGGGACGATGAGGGTGTGGATGAGCCTAGCCTTGGTCTCTAATGACACAGCTTTGCTCTTGGTGATCTTTCCTAATTCTTCCATCGCTGCCCTTCTGAGTCTCCACTTCTCTTGATTTTTTTGGCTGCAGCCTCCGTTTAAATTGGTGATTACCGAGGTAAGCAATTTCAGTGCCTTCCTTGTCTAAGTTGTGCATCTCTTTGGTAGTCATGATTTTTGTTGTCTTCATCTTCAAATGCAGTCCTGCTTTGCTACTTCCTTCTTTCAGTTTCATCAGAAGTCATTTCAGATCATTGCTACATTCTGCCAGTAAGATGATATCACCTGCATATCTTAAGTTGTTGATATCTCTTTCACTAGTTTTAACTCCTCCTTCCTCTGGGTCTAGTCCAGATTTTTAAAAATATGTTCAGTGTATACATTAAACAAACAAGGAAATAAAAGGTGTGGCACCTTCCCCTATAGGAAACCATCCAGTCTCTCCATCTTCTGTCCTGGCAGTGACTTCCCGTCCACAGTACAAATTACACATCAGGACAGTCAAGTGCTGAGGCACACTCGTCTCTTTCAGAGCAACTGCCAGCTTTGCATGATCTACACCACATGTGTCAAACACAAGGCCCGCGGGCCAAATCCGTCCCGCCAGGCCTTGCAATGTGGCCCACACCGCGCTGTCATCACTGCACTCCGCTGCGTTTCCATCACAATGACAGTTTATGACTGTTCAGTAAACCATTTGGCCTGAGATTTAGGCTGGATTTTAGATTTTGGCCCCTTCTCTGATTGAGTTCGACACAGTCAAAAGTTGACCTGTTATTCTTCAGAGCAGTCCAATATCCAGCAAGTGCTCACAATCAGGTCTCAAGTGCCTCTTCCTTTCTGAATCCAGCTGAAAATCCAACCTTTCCTGCTTCTTCTAAGGGGGAAGCCTTAGCACCACCTTGAGCATCACGGTGCGTGTACGGGAAGTTAGAGCAGTGGTCCTGTCAATGCTGTGCTCTTTGGCACCTCCTGAAAACTGGGAGGTATGGTGAATCTTCCCAGTCAGTAGGCCATTGTCTCATTTTCTATATTTGTTAACATCTTTTTTTGTGAGGATTTTGACAGATTCACTGCTGGTGGCTTGACATAATTCTCTTTGTATCTCATCTACCCCTGATGATTTATCTCTTCCCAATTCATTCAGGGCAGCTTTCGCTTCACTGTTTAGAACTGCAGGCTCGTTCTTATAGGAATAGTCTGCAGAAGTATCTGTCATCCTTTTGTCTTTTCTGTAGAGAATTTCAGTGGAGAATCCATGGACATCCCTTCCCTTTATTTTTTTTCCTGGTCAGATAATGTGCTTCCTTATTACTATTCAGCATTCTTAATCTAGGTTTGAATTTCCTTCTTGTTTCCTGCATTTTCTGGTAGAGATATCTGATTTTTTCTTTTTGTTCTCTTCTATCTCCTTACGTTGACTTTTGTAAAAGTTCTCTTTATGTCTAAATGTTAGTTGTTGAAAAACTGCATTCAGGTTTCTAACCCTACTTTGGTCACCTTTTGCTTTTGCCTCTTACCTGTCTCTGACAATTTTCAGATTTTCTTGTCTCAAGCAGCTTTTTTTCCCCTTCCTTTCTACTTCCAGCATTGTTTTTTTGCATTCTTTCCAAA